GGCTGATGTGAAAAAGTGGTAGATTTTCTATAAATTATCATAAAAACACAAATAAACAGATAATAGAGATTGTACCTTATCTTGTTGTTCGTTCATTTGAAGGAACTTTGATAATATGTATTCGGTTGCCTCACCATATTCATCATGACCGTTATATTCAGGAAAACATTGTCTGTTGTGATGTGTTGTTCTTTTATACATATCAAAAACAAAAATAATTCTTACCTTAAACTAGAATGAGTGATCTTGTCGGCAAAGATATTTTTTTTGTTGAAATAAAGAAATATTTGTGCACTTCTGAGCCATTGCAGATGACATAATAAGTGGAATTTTTCAAGAGATTCATGCATTCGATTGGTTATTCCATCATAATCAAACTTGTAGTAGCAAAAAAAGAAGACAAAAACTGAAACATACAATTCTTCTTTTCTTACTTGATCGTAGCAACTAAGATCGACGATAAAAATGAATCCTGTTGCATCTTCAAAAAAGCAGAACCATTTATTAGCATTAGACGTGCATCCTATCTGTCGATACGCATCGATGAGCCATATGACGACTCCTGTTTTAAAAGTGTATTTCTATTTCATGGAACAATAATAAGAAGTTATACCTGTGTCTAGCCTGCATTTGATCTCGTTAATATACATATATTTTGACATCTTCTCACTAATGTGTAGAATATCTTGATTCGACGGTACATAGTCATTAGTCAGAATTTTCGTTAATCTCTTCAAATAGTAGTAATGATGACTGTCTAATTGGTAATGGTGATACTTGTGCCACAATTGAACTTCAACATCTGTCCAAAATCATTTCAACGCATAGGCTATTGGTGAGGGATGCTTAAAAGCATCAGATAAGTTTGTTTGTCGTAGCACATTGTTGAGAACTGAAAAATCAAGAAGATCAAGGTTGTAGCTGATAGTGTGATTGCAGAATCATTGCAAACTTTTCGTATACTTGCTTTCTTCTAGTTCTGATTTGCTTATCATGAGTTAATCTAATAAAAGACTCTACTATATCTTCCTTTTTATTACTCTAGTGGCTAACTTATGTCATCGAATCCAACCCTTATTCAATCAACAATATCATTGTTTGTGGTAAAGCAATAAGAAGTCGGAAGAGACATATAGAAAAAGATTCCATGAAAAAAATTGAGTCAAAACATATCTTGTCAACCTTTTATTCGCTGATGAAAATTTTTAGAAATATTATTATGAAGTACAAATCGTAAAAATATAAACCATAAATAAGCTTGAATCATATGAAGGTAAAAATATGTATGAAAATTAGTAAGATTCTTTAACTAATATAATTAAGTTATTTATAGGAAAGGTTTCCTATTTTCAATACGCTTCTCTCATATATTATACGGCAATTTGTTAAGCTAGTAAATGGTTTTTGTCAAACACAACTATGTTTGAGTATTGCGCTGCATAGCAAGAAAAGCAGAACATTCTCTATAGGTAAATAATGCTTCGAATTATTTTCTATTGCAAACAAAAGATTCGTTCATTTTTTTCAAATATAATCGAAGATATCGAAATTTGTTTACTATATATGTTCACAAGAATGATTTATCTCATACTTTCTATTCGAAAAATGCATTTTTCTTTTAATAATTTTTGACAGATAGTTCAGATACTTACGAGAAGAATATGCCCAATACTTCAGTTTTAGACATTTACCATTTTTCATTTCTTGAATGATGGCAGTCAATGAATGAAGAGCTTCTGTATATATCCAATTCCGATACTCTATGACATCTTCTTTCGATAAACAGGAATTGTAGATTATGTCCATATGATGAAATAGAGTTGATTTACCAGAATCGTAACTACCTATATAGATTTTATGATGTATATGTTGCATTTAATCGTTCAACATACCGAATAAGAGATATTTCATTAGGCATTTCTCATAGTTTCTCTTATTTTGAATTAGTCGATCGATGAACCGGCTATGTTGTTTTGCTTTTCGCTTTTGACGAATTTCGCACCATTTAGTTCGAATTGTGCTCTACATATTACGACTAGTTCCAATTCGAATTAGACAGACAAGAATAGAGTTTGAGTTTGTGACGCCATTTTCTTTCTGTTGTCATGTGTTTTACGGTGCGCTATTTACAAAAAAGCTTCTCTTTATAGAACTATGAATCATCTTTTTTTCTCTACCATGATGCACGATAAATAAGTGCTACAAGGAAAAAGTTTGACGTAAATGTAAGAACACAAAATGCGAGATATGTCTCGTGGAAATCTGTGACCAATCAATGCATCAACGCGTCTACTCGTTTAAGTAAGAAAAAAAAAGTGAAATCATAGCTTTGCTCTCCTACACATAGATGGCGTAGAATTTTTTTTTTCTTCTTCTTTTATTAAACACTTCTTGGGATGTAATGCAGATTATTCATCTTTTTTTAGGACAAAAACAAAAAAAATAAATAACTCAAACCTGTAAAACTCATTCTTTTTGTAGTAATATATGAACGAAAAGCACAATGTTGAATTGAATTTAAGCCATTGTTCATTGGAAACTTGCCTTCATTCAATTTATCATCGAAACAGGATTGTTTCATTAAAGTTGGAATTCTAGAAGTCATTTGAACTAATAAAACCTTGTTGTTTCAATTGATTGCTCGTTTCTCATGTTGATAACTATTATAGTTTTTGTTATTTATGTTATTCTAATGTACTGAAGATTGAAAAGTTGAAGACGATAATTTTGTCTGTTGCTACATCATATCACATTGAATCGATATGTGTTTTGTGTTCTGATAAAAGCGGAAATTCCAACAAAATGCATAACGTATTATTAAAATCATGTTTTAACAAAATGTTGAATTTGACATTGAGTCAGATAGAAGTCTCACAAGATTTAATGGATCTACCATTCATACAGATCGAGAAGATGTGAATCAGTTGCTCTCTATTCTTATCGTTTCAGTGAACATGTAGCCAAATAATGATAGACATTACGTCTTTATTTCGATTCAAAATAAGCCAAAGAGTCATTTTAAATAGATGTAGTTTTCCCTAGAAACTTCATAGTCAGATACAAACACCTTAGGAAGCAATGGGAGTAGTTTGATACAGCAACATAGCTTTAGATAGTTTAGATTCTGAAAAGAATCGACGAGTATAGCAGAGAGAAACTGTGGAAAGCCATCTCTATTCCGTTTTCAAAATCATTAATAGATGATGATTATTAATAATTTTTTTCAATTCAAATTATTGATAAAAAAGTTTTTAATTCATATTTGCATTGTATTTTGGAAAACTTCATTTTATGAATAGGACTCTAATTATCACTTTACAATTATTGAAAACTTTGCCGATCGTCATGTAAAATGAGAAAACTAGACTATTTTATTAAATTTTAGGAGCGTCTCAATCGAGCTTCTATTTCCGAAACTCGGGAACCCGCAGCTGATCGACTTTCCAAAAAACCCTTTAAATGCAGGTTTCAGAGTTGTATCTATCTCTCAACAGCAAGAGAAAATTATATGTGTAAGAATTCGTTCCTAGATGTTTGAAATCCAGTTTCTACATAGTTTCTGTTTCCTAGAGTTAGAAACTCAAAGAATCAGTAGCATGACACCATTACTAATTTTGAAATCATCGAGAAAAACCGTACTGACTTGTCTATTTTTGTACTCACTCTTCACTTTCGACTTTGTTTGAAGTTTTCATCAGATAATTTAAAAAAAACATACTTATCATTCTTGCGAAATCGACAGGTGTGATTAGCAATAAATGCATCTGAAACATATCTTCACCGTGTTGTAAAGATTCGTGCAAATTGGGAGTAGATTGTAGAAAGAAAGAAAGAACCACAACCACACTTACACTTACCCACAGCCATATCCTCTTAGAATTAACTCTTCTCATAACAGAAAAAGTATTATGAATTAGATAAAGAAAAATAAATCAATCTATTATTTGCATTTTTATCGTTAATCTACTTCAGTTAGTAATACATTATATTTCGTTAGTATCAAGTTAGGTGTTTGATTGAAGGCTTTTTTTTCCATATACTCAATGAAAGTATGCGCATACGTAAATGCGCACGAAAGAAAGAGAACATTATAAAGCAGCATGTCAATATTGACACCATTGCATATCACTCGACGATTGGAAGAAAAAAAAATACATAAACAAGTGTATGGCCTACAGCATCAAACATGCATTTCTAACATCAGCCATCAGGACATACAGGTAAGAGTCGATTGAATCATTCCTTCATCATGAGAGCATACACTAATGAATAGCATTTAACAGCAGTTTTTTTATAGCGAGCCTCTTATCAAACATAATCCACTGAAGATATCTAAATAGCAATTTCGATAGCTCTCATAATGAAGTTAATCACTATCGTAGAGAAAAAAAATGAATAAATAATATTATTGGAAACTAGAAATACCAATAGTATTGTAAAGATCGAATTACATTACATGAGAATTTAAATCTTTTCCTCAGCAAAAATAAGTATCTTCTTCAAAAATATTTTAATAAATTAATTAATTAGACAAAGTTATCGATAAGGCGTCTAATAAAAGATCAGAGATCACCATAGAGCAAAACTGTTTCTTAATGTTGAAAAATCTAATTATTTGAACGAACGTCTGATTTATTTAATTTAATCAGTTTTTTTCAGATACCATTTACTTGGTACATTACTTCGCGTTTAGATTTATCTTGACATTATTCATGCAATACAATCTAATTGTTATTCAATTATAGATTTTACTCTAAACGATAATGATAGGTGCGGGCTTACGTTTTGAAAAGGTAAAGATAAAAATTGTTTATCTTATGAACATTTTGGTCTTCTTTTGGCTTACCTTCATTGCGAGTTTTATGAAAATAGGAAATTATATTGAAAGAACAATTAATATATTTTTATGTTCTCATAGGTATCCTAAATAATTAATCAATTTTTCTTCATAGTCCACGAATGATAATTCGCAACTTATCGCTGCGAAAGACAATTCAGAAATGCCGTTACGAGTAAGAAATCTATTGGAGAAAGTAGGCAATGAGCTCATTCTGAAAATTCAACTCGGCCGTACACCTGTTCAAGATCTCCCTCTTAAGATACTTAACTTTTTAAGCGATTCGAAATTCACCAATAAACAACTTGAACTTGGTTATGATGAAATCTATCACAATTATTTACTTATTACTATAAAGAATAGTCATGTACCCGATACACTACAACATATACTTGGAAATGTTACACAAAATGTAACTCCTAGAACTATTCTTAAACTTGAAAAAGCACAACGTATTGCTCTCAAACGTCCGACTATACCCGATGAATTGATCGATGTATATGATATTCCACTAACACCAAATAAACCATTAACACTCAATCGATTAATTTCTACAGCCTCAAATGTCGACAAAAATTTTTACAAATATGATGCTAGTGAAAATAATATGTGTCAAACATTTGTCGAAAACATTATTGATATCAATGGTTTGACGCCTAATATTGTTGATCAAGCAACATTGAATGCACTCAAACCAATCGATGCCAAAGCATTAATTTCTACGTTAGGTAGTCGATCTCATATCGTTAAAATGGCGACAGATTTGGGTGCCAGATTAGATAAATTAGTATTCGATCATAAGATTAAATGGAAAAAACCTCAGCCAAAAGAATTTACTCTATTGCATTATGTTAATGTTACTGATTCAGAAAGCACCAACTCTATATACTATGCCGTTCTTGAGCTCGAAAAACATGGTAAGAATAGGACACACAACAGATTTTATTACTTATATATTATTATTGTTTGTAGCACGATCGCTTCTTCACTGTACGCCGCCACAACCACCACCCGAATCATCATTGTACTTCAGATTTTAAGAAAGAAAAAGACTGATACTCATTTAAATGATACAGAATGTTCTATAAATAAGAACGCAATAAAAACGTTGAATATCTGTATTGTGAATGTGAGTGTAGATGAATCTGAATGTAGACGTGGGTGTGTTACAGAGTAGATCAGCACCATTACCCATCCACACTCACACATATCTTAAAAACTCAAATAATCGAAGACACTTGGACTAAATTGGATATTTTTGATCTGATGCCAAGCTTTCTGTGTGTATCTAATAACATATTTGAATAGTGCATAAAAAGTAGCATACAACTGTCACAGACTGATTTGAGTTCAAAAGTGTCTACTGCACTAGTCGATGTTAAATATTAGAGACTAAAGTGCTCGAACAATCTCTAAAAGTGAAAATTAGATGACGAAAAAATTAGAGTAGACATTGGAATGGATTTGAACGACGGAATCAAAAATTTAATACAATCATTAAGTTAATGTGAATTAAAGTGGAAGACCCAACCGTACTTGAAATAATCGATGACAACTACAAGAAAGTCTAATGAACATACCTAATCTGAGTAAGCGGAAGATGAGTAGAAAGAATTAAGCATATATCGCTCTTCTCTCAACTTTGCGTATGTGTGTTCATTCACTACTCTTTTGACCGTCTTTGCTTGTTGACATTGTTATTTGATATTTTCATGAGATGCTTAAAGTCTATATGCAATCATCTTTGAATAGAACCTCGGCCCATTTCACCTGATAGGATTCTTCAATTATAGTCGTTTCAAACGTCTAAATATGAATATCATTCTTCTGGTTCAGAAGAACAAAATCATGGATTATTGCGCAATCTTCACATCCATTTTATAAATTCGTGCTTTTGTGGAACAAGATAAATTTGCAATATATCTTCGAAGTGAGTAATGTGTGAACGCAATGGTCTGTTACCCATTATGTTTAAATCTATGATCTTCGATGAAGAAACTCTTTTGTTATCTTGCAAATAGCTGACTGAATAATAAGATTACAAATATTGTATGGAACTTCTTTTCAGACACTAATCCATATTCTGATATAAGATAAGTCGAAAAATCATGGCAGAAAATTTATTTCTTACTAGTGAGCTGGTAAGATACAGCATATTTTAGATTTAATGTTTTTTCGTTGATATGCTGAATACTGTTTTTCATAGTAATCATAACCTTCAACCAGTTGAAATTATTTTTCTTCAAATCGATGGCCTTTAACACTTACTTGTGATACAGTTGAATCTTTTAATAATGAAATAAAAATTGATTTCAAGTCGAGACTATTATTATCTTATTGGAGAATTTTCAATCGTTTACATTTTGATATATTACCAAAGACTTTAGAAATCTGGAAATGAGAAAATGTAAAAACATGCCTCTCTTGTATCGGTGTAACTCGATTGACTGAATAGTTGAGAAATTGTATATTAGTTAAATTCAGAAATGCTTGAGGTATTGTAAAGAAACAATTGTTTGAAAAATTCAATTGTTTCATTGTTGTTAAATACGAAAATAACGCGAGTAAAGAATGTCGATGATTACCATTCAATTGAAGACTTTCCAACTTTTGACAGATAGCAAGTGAAAACATTAGAGCATAGAGATTCTACGTAAACATATTACGAGAAAATTAGAAAAATACAATATGACAAAATGTCACATACTGATCTAATTATTTCTCAAATAAAAGTTCTTTACGTTGATCAAATTTCTTGAGACAGTTAGGAAGCTATCTAATTTCATAATCATTTAAAGACAGGTACGCAAACTAGATAGAAAAAATACTTCAGATGATATCAGCTAATGAAAAAGTACGTAAAAAAAGTTTTAAAAAAAATCTAAGTTACACTTACTTTTAGATTTTTTCTGACCCTTCTGCAAAACGTTAGTTTTTCGTTCTACTTCGAGATGAATTGGTAAGTCGGTGTTAGGAAGAAAATGTCTCAATACTGAACTCGTGGTTCGATAGTCAACTAAATATATTTTACTGCCTTAGTTTCTATAAATATGTAAACCATATTGATTTTGACATAGAACTACTGGTTTATCTTGAGTATCAACTGAAATAGACTTGAATATGCCAAGAGAATAAATAAAAACTATGAGTTTCATCTTCATTCTCAGTACTTCGAGAATCAAAATGTTCTGAATATAAAACATCCAATTTTTCAGTAGATCTAAAATTAAAAGAAAACTACTTGTTAAATTTGTACAACTAATCTTTTCCGATCAATTTACCTTACCAGCTTTCTCGTATGACAACAAATAGTCAATTTCACCTTCTAACTGTCTGAACATGCTAATCAAATACGTCTTTTTTATTCGTTCTTTGTAAAACGAAAATAATTGATCGTACGTATTTTTCTTCTAGATACTCATAGAAAAAACACACGGAGAGCAAATAATTTACAAAAAAAAACCTTTCTTCGGATGAGATTTCTAACAATCGATCATCAGTAAGTATTCAACTGTTTGTTAATTTGTTTGAGAATACCAGTCATAAACACACCGTGATCTCGAATGACAAGCAAACAAAAATCAATAGAAAACTTTAAGAAATTTAAATATATAATAATATATCCACATACCTTTTGAAATATTTACTTCCAATACTACCGCATTATCTGAACAGCTGTTTGATGTTTAACATTTGAATAATCAATGTCGTTTAAATTACACGTAATATTATATTGTACAATCTCAGAAAAGAAATTTAGTATAGTCTTGTAGCATTAAAACCATTAGCTAATTTCAACCGTCTATCTCTATCTATCAGACTATTTTCAGTCACTTGCCTGTAAGCATAAGCAAGTAGAACAGCGAAAATTAAGCATTTGTACTTCAAACTCAGGGGAAGCAAGAGAAAATACATGAACCAATGAAAGAAAAACCCTCTATTTACTACAGATAAAATAAGTTCTATCGTTTTATTCATTTTCTTCTGCAGCAAATCGATGCTTCCTTTTTACCAGCTGTAATTTTTTTACGACAACTAGGATCGAATCGTAGTGCATGTTTTTTTTTTCTTTCAAAAAATATCGTTCCTAACGCTTGAGAGAGAAACACAATATTCAGAGCATCATCAAAAAGCGTCTTGTTTTTAATGCCACTAATTTTATAAGAGCTGACGAAATTTGTACAAACAAAAGTTCGAAAAAACTAACTTTTCTCCAACTATAATGATCAAAGATTGACTGTTTTAGAGGTTTGTGACGTATGCTTTCAACACCCTTAGAATGATGAAAAAAAATCATTATCATTAGGAGAATTTTATACATAAAACACTTCGAAGTTGTGTAAGTTTAAAAAATAATTGACTTTAAAATAACCAAGTAATTTAAAAAACTTCTCTAGAATTATATCAAAAGAAAGATGAATTTCAGTACTAATTCTACCAAAGTCAATCGAGTTTTGTTCTAGAAAAATCTAAAACATCAACTATCATTTTTTACATTCTCAATTCTACCTCTAATCATAAAATAAAAACTTGCCATCATCATCTTACAACACTACATCAGATTTCCCATTTCAAAAGAATAAATATTAGTTCAATTACAATTGTAAATTTTTCAATGAAAATATTTTTAGAAAAACAAATTCTTATACATGTATTTTATAATTATCATCTGACATAATCGATATTACACAGCAAAAAAATTAATAATAATTCAACGAACAAACATCAAAGCAAAAAAAAATTCTATTACTCTTTCATATTGAACATTACAAAAAACAATTCAAACAATTGTACCAGAAATTAACAATATTAAACAAATATAACAAACACAAGATATCTGACAGAATCTAACAAATTTATATATATATACACACACAAAAATTGATCATAAATGCATTAGCAACAACGATGTACAAAGAGGAAAAAACAAAACACCAAATCTCTTTCACCAAAAATCGAATTTCGCAAAATTTACGAACTTTATATAAACTGTGCGATGCTTACGACTGTTGCCGCCGCCTTTCTTACGTTTCATTTTAAATATCTACATTCAAATTGACAATAATTCATCCACAGAAGCATAACCCGAACTTGACCTTCGTGAACGTTGTTCATGTTCATGTTCATCGATCGTTGCTTGATCACCATTTGCTGGTATATATTGTGGGGCATATGTATAACCTGGTTTAACAATTATCGAAGAACGTCTATATTCATCATGAATAAAAGCACAGTTTTGACCTAAGAACAAAACAAAAAACCTATATAAAACTTCATTTGATTAATAAAATAAAATATATTACCATATGGACAATTATTGGTCATATGAAATAGTCGACATAAAACTGATTTATGATTTGCATTACGTAAATCTTCAGCTCCATGTGCAAATGTACAATCACCATCAAATTTACATACACCTGTTTCCACATAATATTTACATAATTCTGTTTTATATTTTGAATTGCTCGTTGACCACGAAGCAATCTTTGCTTTATCAATTACAATTACAGGACCGCAAGGAATTTTTGAAAATGCAGTATTACGTGATAAACGCATGTCCTAAAACAAATCAATAAGAATATTATTGTAATATTCGATTTTTCTATTATATCATCGATTTCAAATTGCACTAACTCTTGATTGAAGATTATCAATTTACTTCAGAATTTGAGAAAAAGAATCTTAGATTAAACAAATGCTTGCAAATTTTAATTAACATTAACTGTTTTACAATAATTTCAAATACTAATTTTCGAGCTACTGTTTTTGTGACATCAATTTTCTAATTTTTTTCCGCTATTCTATCGTTTCCAGTATATTTTGGCGTCCTAGAATTGTCCTTAAACCGTAAGAATTTCCAGAAATCATAATAATAAAACCTATATACTGTTGCTTTTCATCTCTAACCAGCTTCCCCGTGCAAAAAAAGGGCAAAAACGACTCCATTTCTCCACCCTAGTGTATGAGATAGTATCTGTATTTTGTTTTAAAAAATTAGGTGCTGTTCATATTTAGTAGCTAGTACAAAAAATTAACTCCATTCATAAGCATGCGTTCCCTTAGAACGTCTAGTGCCTATAAAAACATTTTCAGCTCGATCGAACATAAAATCCGCAACAATTTTCACTCTACTAGGCCGATCAAATCTTTTCTCAGAATAGTGATCAACAGTCAAAATCACATATGATCCTAATTTCACGCTTTAGGTAAACTGCAATATTATTTTCAAATATCTGCACGTTTGTTCGACAGCTGTTATTTACGAAATTCCCATAAACTTCTAGAATTCATAAAATCTAAGAATATAGCGTTTAACGCAAGTGAAACACGACCATAAAAGATACTCTTAATCAAAGGAATGATTTCAATTCCCGTGGTCCATATCTACCGAGGAATTCGAAACCTTTCTGATGACCCGTTCTCCGAATAGTTTCAAGGTGTCAATTAGTAACTAATTAACTCGAATACACCTCTTCATTATCACATTTCTCTAAAAGATATGCTATATCCAGTTACGAAGCTCGTTCATTACATACATTTTACGGTCATCAACTGAAGAAATTGATTGTATAGAATAACTTCATATTTAAACGATCTGCTATAGTCATGTACCTTGTTGCTGAATCAATCAAATCGACGTAGACGAAATTATACATCGACGATGTATCTTTCAACTAATCTTTAACTTGTATTTTCAATTACCTGCGTATATGTCCTTTCACACAATGCAAAAACTTTAGATGAATAATTTTTGAAGCTATATTAGTCTTTCTCCTCGTCATACGTATTATTTAAAATATAAAAATCATTTTCCGAGCCTTCGTTCACAATAATCATCTTTCATACAACTTCCTTGAAATGGGACACTTGTTTCTGCATGCATACTCTGTTTTTATATTCAATCTTCTCATATAAGACTTTTAACATTCTCTAGTCTCCATCATATTAATTATAGGTATCAAAATATTTTTTTGGTAACCACAAAAAAAAAAAAAAAAAATGTCGACTTACAAAAGCTCGAATATATCGTTTTAAATCGACTTGTTCATCATCACGAAACATTAATTCAAACATAAGTTTATGTCGATAAGCTTCTCGTTGAGCTTGATAAGTGGAAGATGATGAAGACATACTAGTTCGTTAATGTTTTATTTCCAAATAATGATAAAAAAATTTGTTCTATATATTCTAAATAAAATGAAACAAATTGGTTTATGAATAGATATATACAGACATAGAAATGGCTTACAAATTAACGTGAAAGTGTGATAAAGAAGTACTAATTGATCAACCTAAAACAAAAATTACAATGTCATGCATTGATATATAGATATCATTTTGTTTTAGTATAGTCCATAATGAGAATGTGAACGCCTAATGAATGAATATAAAGAAAGAAAGAAAGGCGTAAAATGACGACGAACAACATTTTTTATCTATTTTCTTAACTCATTGACGAGAATAATAAAAACTTTGAAAAAAATAAAATGAAACTCTTGAAAATATTAATTCTAATATATATTTCAACCAGAAACATTTTTTTTCTCATGGATTTTTCAAAATAAAATTTTATATATTTATTTAATTACAAGGAAAAATTTTTCTTATGACTAAAATAAATTCTCTTCGAAAAATACTTACACATTAAAATTGAATGTAGATTAAAATATATATTAATTTTATATATATATCTATTGTCGTTCGTTTAGTCAAATAATTGTGTAAGCGTATGTCTATGTACTTATATCTGTTTGAATGTATCGATTTGTCAAAAAAAAAAAAAAAAGAAGAATATTTAACTGTGTGTTTGTTTATCTATGTGTGAACGTCACACCACCCAAACGAACAAGAACAAACAGATATATACATATGGCAGCAACAATGTTTTCTCTCATCCGTTCTAGGTTAAAATTGAATACATAGAGATAGTAGAACAATAAACAGTTGATCAGACGGACGGATAAAAGAGATATAAAATGAATAGTTAATCATTTGAAATTATAAGTTTAATTTTAAACAAAAAAACAATATATATAATTGATGTACTTTGAAATGAATATTTATCTAATTGATTGTAGAATTTTTTTCATATGATTATTTTTGTAATGATTGATTAATCTTATAGAAGGAGCTATTCTCTCTTATTGCAAGAAAACATCATGAAAAGTTATCTTGTGTAAAATGTCGAAAATTGAAAATCTTAGTGAATTTTTCTTTTCAATTTATTTCGTGTTATTGGATAGAACACATTCAATTACTTATGGAAAAACTACTTTTTTCGATTTTTAGAAGCAAATTTTTTCTGGAAATATTTGAAAAAATTTGATTCTAAATTTTATGATTAGAGTCGTTCGCTATTGCAGATACAAAGAAATTAATGTTCTACAAAGTGACAATTACATATTTATGATAATGGACAATTCTAATAATGATATTTAGTCTTTTTTTTTGCAAAATTTCCAGAAAAAAAAATACTTTGAAAAAACTTGGAAAAGTAATTCGATATACTTTATTCAACGACACTAAATAAATTGAAAACTAAAATCTACTATCGTTTTGGGAATGATAAACAAAATACTTTTAGATAAAAATAAACTAAAACTTAGAAAGAAAAAAATTGATTAATCAATGGAATTGATCTTCGCAGCAGTTAAAAATAGAAATCTTTAATTAATATGACAGGATAATAATCTTTTGGATAGTATATCTATATCTGAAAAACCTTGTTGTCTTCTCAAACAAATTTTTCGCATTAAAATTAACTGTTTCGGAAAGATTACTACTTTGACATACATAAATTTATAAGAATATAATCTAGACTGAAAAAACCTAGAAAGAATATGTTAATAAGTACTGAAAAATAAAGATGAATGAGGACATTTCTAACGGAACAAATGATAACTATTCATAAGTAAGAATATTAAATAACTTTTTACAATAGAATTGTAAATTAAAATTTTTTGTTCATTGAATGTTGCAGATTATTATACTTGCTGGATAGATATGTCAACGAGGTTGAAGAATTGACCTATATAAATCAGAACGAATATATTTATATTCTTTAAACCTTGATCAATGAATGTCCATTGACGTGGACATTGGTAGAAATAGTATTCAAAAAAAGATCGAACTATATGAATTATAAGTAATTCTATGTTAGTTATAGAAATCTTTATGAATAATTAGTTGCTTAAAGCAAAAGTGTTATTTTGTTTCATTGCTTTATCTCTGAAAAGCATGACGCGCAAAACATATAAGTTTTAGAAAAAACTATTAGCGCAATCTCTCATGACAAAAATGTGAAACACGAGGTAATTGTTGTTGCTAATGACAGAGAGATTGTTTTACTCTATCTATTTTGGGACACATTTTCTCGCCCTTCTTTTTACTTAATCCTCTTGAAATGCAATAAGGAAGTAATTCAGATACTATTATTGATATACGATCTGTGGGAGAACCAAACCTTTACTCCTAAAGGTTGTTCCATAAGTTGTGAGTGTCAACAAAAATTAGTTTATATGTAAATAAAGAGTGATTCCTATCTGTCTACAACTATATGAACTTCAAATATTTAGGAAGATTTTTTTTCAATTATATATTATCCGATAAAATTATCTCTTTTTTAATAATTGTGATATAAACAAAAGAAACGTGATAATTAAAATTTCGAAATTGATCAGAAGTTTATTTTTGAAGAAGTTTTAATGAACTATGAATTATTTGAAGTGATACGTAGCGCATGTAGATCGCTTCTTCCGCAAATATTATGAGTAACTAATTGTATTATCATTTAATTGAATCAAGATTTGAAACATAAAATAATGATTGCATTACAAACTATTGAAGATAAAGATGTATGATCCATTGAAAATATATGAAGTATATTAAAACAAAAAAATGTGAAAAGAAAATTCTTAAGTTTCAAACAACCAAAAAAAAATATATTGAACAATAAATGAAAAAAAAATAACTTATTATGATTGTAAAAAGTATGATTGATAAATACAGTAGTGGACAAAATTATAAGAACAGACAGTTTTTTTAGTGTTTTCATTTCATTTGTCTTTACTTTTCATCTGCTCGAAATAGTTCATGTATCATCTATACATATGCATTCCGACATGCTCTATCCAAAACTGAACTCGGATTTCCTCGTTTTCAATATGAAGTTTGAGAACGTATATGTTTATTAAAAACGNGTTTTGAATTTTTTTTTCAAACTAGTCTAACTGAGGTCTTTATGTGGGCAAAGTTTTATGTCAAAACTCAAAAATATGGTTGTGTTGGACAAGTATGGTCCTCCAGAGAAAATTCACTAAAACCTCGATATCTCGCTAGACACCAGCCACGGACACGCACTATTTTTATTGTAAACATGGTTTACCAAGGTCTACAAGATGTGCTAAGCCCCGACTCAAAAGCGAATGTGCACCTTGGAATGTTTCCTCGTCAGTATATATAGCATCAACAGTTTCCATGTGTTTTTAACTTTCGTATACTTCACAAGTATATCTTGTTTTTCACAGCGTTATAGAGCTTTTATCCATTTGTGCATGGCCTCAAGTTCAACACTCCACCGTTGCACCCCTTGAAATTTTGTCATAAACTTGTTTCATTTGCACATGTGTCAGTTGTGACTTTTTGGGAAATCTAACCAACGTACATGGAAATATTTCGTAAGCGTAAAGCATTATTTGTGTTTCCAGAAATATATAAAAAAACGCAAACATCGAAGTAGCACTTGCTATTCCCAGGATGCAGTTATTATAAGCCTCCTTCTGTTGCAGGATTTCTCAAATGCCAAAAATGTACGGATGCCTATTGATGATATTGTTGGTCTCAACTGTATGGCGTGTTGTTAACGCAAACTCTCCCTTCTACGTAATTGCACACATGGCAAATACACTCAAGGCAGTCGATTGGGCTATCGGCAAAGGTGCTAATGCTCTGGAAATGGACTTGCGTTTTGATTCTCATGGTAGACCTGACGTCTTTCATCACGGTGGTATCTGCGATTGCACTTTCTGCATATTACAGAGCAACTCTGTATGCTCACCTTTGTATCATAAATGCGGAACTCGGGTAAAAGCGAAAATCATGTTTAATCATTTAGCCACCAAATCCTCACTGGTGCTCATTCTCATCGATACTAAAATGAATGCTGCAACGTCAAGCTATGTGCAAACCACTGCAGGTGTCAGCATTATTCAGTCCCTTGACGAAGAGCTATTCAGCAAAGGATATAGAGGCAAGGTGATCATCAGTATTGCTCATCCAGATGTTCTTCAATATATTATTTCTGCTGCACAGCAAAGCAAAAATTCCCCAAATAATGCTCGTATTTATTTTTCAATTGATCAAGAAGGCCGAAAGGCCACTAACGCTGCCTGCACCATCAAAACTTTAGCCACGATCGGTTCCCGGAATATTGTTTTTGGGACTGGTATTAGTGCATGTGTATCTGGAAATTTTGAAGAAGCTATCAGCACAGCTGTTACGAATCGTAACTCAGGAGTAATCGGTTTTGTATACAGTTGGACGTTAGACAAAAAGTCATCCATGCGTACTTACATCGACAAAGGAGTCAATGGTATTATGACAAATTATCCCCAGGCTCTAATTGAAGTTGCCAAGGAAAAGGGTCTTACTCTTGCCACACCCAGCGACCCAATTCCCACTTCTACTAATAAACATGTTTTTGGTGGTGGAGTTTGCGACTGTGACTGCGATTACCATCCAGGAGGATGTGTAATCAGCAAACCGGCCCCTTCAGGCAAAGCTTGTAAATGTAGTTACAAGGGGGCCTGGACATGTGGTGGATCATTAACAAGCTGCAGCAATGAAGTCTCTCAGTACTGTGTTCAACCGGATACATCAGTTTCTTCTTGCACTCTTGGTGGCGGCGACTGTGATGGTTACAAAGATCTATCGTGTGATTGTAATTATGAGAAAGGTGGTTGCTATATCAGTCGACCAGCTCCTAGTAATACTGCTTGCAAATGCAAATACCTAGGAGCATGGACATGTGGCGGTTCGGTAGTTCGATGTTCCAACGAAAACTCTTTTTACTGCACACACCCAGATTATTCGAAAGCGTCTTGCAGTTTGGGTGGCGGAGATTGCGACGCCAA